TTTATATAATGGACCCGATAATAAACCATGTATTCCTTCCATACCATCACGTTCTCCTGAGTGGGAAATGAAGCTCAAAGCGCAAGTTCAGACAGGAAAGACCTATTCACTTCGTATTGCACGTCACGGCAATTACTCGCTCCCTTACTTAAGGATAGGGAGCGCCACTCTCAGCAACTCATCACGTCCCTCTAATCACAGCCTAATCATCGCACCTGGTAATCCCTTCTATATAAGCTCTCCCCCTCTTCTATCAGCTGTCTTTCCAGGTGCAACTGCCAACCCTCCTCCATCCCTTCGCTCCCTGCTTCCAACTCAAGGACAAAGCTTTAACCTCCCTTCAACCGGACCTAACCACTTATCACCCACCACCAGTGTCTAGACCCAGGGGTTCATTCGGAACAGGTTCTTTCCTCCCGACATGAATCCTACCAAACCTGGGCTAATCCCCAAAACATATTTCCATTCACTTGCTACAAGAACTGTCATCATTTGTTCATTTATATAATGTGACCCGATAATAAACATGTATTACATACATCACGTCTCTCCTGAGTGAAATGGCCTTGAGAGGAAAAAGGTTCCCACCCCGCTTATAGGGATCTAGTTAATATTGCTTAGTCAAGCTCGTCACTTTTGGAATCGAGCTTCCAGTTTGTGTTCGGGACGGGCAGACACCTATCCATTTTTAAGAGTGCGCTTAAGATCTTCCTTCTTTGATAAAGCTTATAGTTAGGGCTGATTAGATTCCGCCCCCTATGTTTTGCTGATCACATCATGGCTTAGTTTGTCGGGGACATCTTACTTTCTCCTCCTCTGGTCTATATCCTGTGTAACTCTCATGTTCCGATTAACCCAGCTTCCCCAAATGCCTTTCTTTTTGGTGGTCTATTATATCGCCTGCCTCTGGAGTCATGGATGATCCTCGCGGTCCTGTGGTCATGATCGCGAGTCCTGGATCTTATGTCGTGGCTGTGGTCCTGGACAAGTAAGTCCTGTGATGGATAATCCTCGTGGATTCATCTTCCTAATTATATCACACATGCATTTCCAAACATATCTGGACTAAACCTAATGTTTGCAAATGTATTTATCTTTCAATTTTACACGACAGGCTATCTATTGCACGTCTGTCCGTCTGGGAGAGGGATCCCTCCTCTGTTGCTCTCCCTGAGGTATATACTCCCATTTTTCCCTTTAAACTGTGGGGTTTTCTCTGGAAGTTTTCAACTTGTAAACGATGTGAGGGTCTAAAGGAGGGAGGTGTCGTATTGGTCATTCTGATATTCTGACAAAACCGTGTGAAAGTCCACTGAGACAAATGTAACATTTGTGAATGGGCCTATATAAATAAAACATTATTGATTGATTGTCATTAATATCTAATAATACAAAACTAATCAAATTCAATAAACGTGCCTTTAACCACCAGTCCAACACCATGTTCCCTTTCTATCAGCTGTGCACCGTATGGTGTATATACAGCCTATCTACTAACCAATTGGATCAAAAATAAAAGTCAGCCGAATTAGTGTTGATACTGCATGGAAAGAAATGTAAGATGTTGTTATAATTGCTGATTATATTTAGATCCACGTCACGTTTCAGTTTGCGGCGGTTCTTCCTGGTTTTGTCGAGAAGTCTCTCATCAGGGCTCTATAAATAGAGAGCTAACGGCAGATATGTACATATTTGAATGCAGCCGAACCGTGTATTACAATCCCGTTACGTGAATGACTTTCAAAGAGAAAAGCAAGCACCACTCGGAATAAAGTATTATTTTATTTTTATAAAATGTTTTTCGGATTTCACATCGCACTAAGCGCCATTTCCCAGCTTGCATTGTTAAACCATCCAATCATCGAGCTGAGGATCTTACCTTGTCTGTTTCCGGTTTCGTTTATGACGGATGTATTTTGTTATACACACATTCCTTCACATTTAAATTAAAATGTCATTAAAGTATTTCGTGAGGCTTTCTAAAATGTTTTTAAATGTAACTACGGTTCTAGTTGAAGAGTTTGTAAATTAACATGAACCGAAGCTGTTGCCTGGCAACGCAATCGCACGACGTCACGTCCGTTAATTCCACAAACACACACATGGATTAACATCGATTTAATACATTAAAGTAGCCTTTGTTTCTGCTAAAAGAGGTGTCGACCAGCTGGGGCAACAAGAAAATCGGCAAAATCAAGTGTGACTATTAAAAAATAAATCATTATTATATATAGACAATAACAACCAACCGTCGGGGTAGCATTTGCTTGGCATTTCCGGGTATTTCTCCACTGGTTGGGCCATGTTAACAATACCATGTAAGTGTCACGTTTGAAGGGATGAAATCGTGAAATCTTCACATCTCCCAGCAGGGTAAATCGTCACATGTTCACGTCTTGCCGTGATACCGGGTTGGGGCAATCACAGCAAAATCAATCTGAAAGTGCCGAAAATTACTCTTTCTACGACCTGGCTCAACTACAGGCACCCTGAAGGAAAAAGAACTTTTATGATAAAACATTTGATTAGGTTTTGAATAAAACAGTAGACATATAATGTAATATATAAGGCAGGAGAGAAGAGTAAATGAAAAAGTTAGCATCTGTACACATGGTCCAGTCTTACTTCTAAAACATAGGGTTATACACACACAATAAGTATGATTGTCATTGTCTTTTTCGGACTCCATTAGTTCATGAAATTGGAATCATGTTAGCCACAGGCACCCGGATAACAGAGTGCAAAGAATAAGTGAAATGTTGTCTATCTCAGTGAACAATCTCAAATCTGCCTCTGTGATACAGGCGGCAGTCCAACTGTCTACTTCCTTTTTTTAAATGCGCCCTAGGTCTCTTTTGGTTGTACATGCACACATGCACATGCACATGCACACACACACACACACACACACACACACACACACACACACACACACACACACACAGGAACGCTTGGCAGTGTGTAATGCTTGCAATAGAATCAACAGGAAGTTGAGACATCTAGAAAGAGTTGTGGTGTATCTGCCTCTGCTACCATCATGGATGGAAGACTTTTTCCCAAAGGCAAATCAATACAAAGCCCACAAATATTCTACTTTAACAACTCAAACTGCGCTTTTCAATACAAATCTATTACTATACAAATGTGAGACACTATCAGTCCACTTCTCATTTTAATATTAATATTCATATATGTATTCTTATTACATAAGTGTACAGTTATATGTGTCTTGTTCTTAATTAACTTTGACTTCTACATAAGTTGCTTTATTGCAAACTAGTGTAGTCTCTGAAGCAGAACTGAAGCTTTGTAATATGTTATGTATTCTTTGTTAACTTGCAGGATATTGCATAATTGCGCATTCAACCCTTGTGTTCAAGTGAAACTAAAAGTATGGTTTAAAACTTTTGTATCTATAAAGTATATGAAGGAACGTATACAGTACATCCAAATAAAGTCATTATATATTTTAAAAGTTTGTTTTCTGAGAGTTGAGTTTTGTACATTGTCCCATGGATCATATGTATTGTATCGTATGTAACTGGAAAAAATCCGCTGGCATTTCCCTGATTACAATATTACAGCTAAATTCTTGTGTATTCCTCTTAGTTTTTAATCGAAAGGTTTACTTATTGAGCGAGTAAAATTAAAGAAAGATTGCTTTCCTAACTTGGTAAATGTTGTGTCTAAAGGCTGCTGGGGTCGAAAAGATAAGTTTAAGTATCAGACCTCAATGACTGTACTCCTAAATTAGCTTTGAAAGGTGCACGAAGAGCACCTCGTCGAAGATATTTAGTCCACCAGCAGCTTCTCTCTTTATGCTGTAACAGAGCTGCTACTTTACGCCTAATGTTGTTATGCTTTTAATTTCATCCTAATATATAGCTGATTTAACCAACTGAAATATCTTTGGGCATTAAAAGTCTAATTCTAAATTTCTAGTTGTTTAAAGTAAGTCCATCCATCCATCCATCTTCTCCCGCTTATCCGTGGTCGGGTCGCGGAGGTAGCAGTTCCAGCAGAGAGCCCCAAACTTTCTTTTCCCTGGCCACGTCAACCAGCTCTGACTGGGGGATCCCAAGGCGCTCCCAGGCCAGCGAAGAGATATAATCCCTCCATCTGGTTCTAGGTCTACCCCTTGGTCTCTTCCCAGCTAGGGAGGCGCCCAGGTGGCATCCTAACTAGGTGCCCGAACCACCTCAACTGGCTCCTTTCGACGCGAAGGAGGAGCGGTTCAACTCCGAGTCCCTGACCGAACTTCTCACCTTATCCCTAAGGGAGACACCAGCCACCCTGCGGAGAAAACTCATCTCGGCCGCTTGTACCCCTTGTGCAATAATCATGCTGTCTAATCAGCATCTTGATATGCCACACCTGTGAGGTGGGATGGATTATCTCAGCAAAGGAGAAGTGCTCACTTTCACAGATTTTTTCAGATTTGTGAACAATATTTGAGAGAAATGGTTATTTTGTGTATCTAGAAAATGTTTTAGATCTTTGAGTTCATCTCATGAAAAATGGGAGCAAAAACAAAAGTGTTGCGTTTATATTTTTGGTCAGTGTATATACCGTAACAACATACTATGAACTGTAATAAAGGGTAAAAGCAACGGTTTCACTCTCACCTGAAGACAAAGTCATGGCTGTCGATGTTCCTGCCCTGTTGGGACCCTCGCAGAATTCCTCCGTTTCCTACCACGGCGCAGCTAACACACCTTTCAGGTGAGCCTCGCTCGAAAAGACGAGAGCTGTTGAGGAGGGAGAGCGTGGAGACCACAACTGCAGGAGAGGAGGAACAATTCAGATAGCTTAACTGTGAAGTCCTGCTTATAAGACTTAGCTTAGACACTACAGATGAATAGGGTACACAATGTAACTAATAGATATCAAATTGAGACTTCTTCAGTTGATTATTTACTTTAAGGCAATTACTTTTTGTATTACAAGTTTTCTGAAGTGTCATGTATAAATATGCAAATCAGGTAAATGCACATTTTTGGTTAACTCAGACAAAAATCTACAAACACAGCTATATGTGTATATAGCATTTGTTCCCATTAGTCGTAGCAAAATAAAGATACATTCTCAAAATGGATTAGACAAACAGATTTATTTATAACACAAATTATTCATTCATAAAAAACACAACAAAACTTTGTACAATGTTCTGAGCATTTAACAGCTTCATCATTCTTTAAATATTCTCTTCACACATTAAGTCATTATGGCATCCTGTGTTGTGCGCAGGCCCGGTTCTACGGGGGTGCATAAGGGTGCATTCCACCCTCAGTTGAGTCGTTATGCACCCTCATTTGAAAAATGAAAAGTGAAAAAAATTACATATATAATAATAATAGTAGTAGTAGTAATAATAATAATAAGAAGAATTTAGTTGAAATAAAATAAATTGTAATTGTGGTTAAATAACATTGTCTGCTGCATGTATTTGGTCAACTTAAATGGTAAGTAACGTTATTATGTCAGGTGTGCGTGACCTGTGCCGCTGCGCGTTCGTCATCTGCAAGGTGCTTACACAGAAGTCAATGATGGACATCAGAAAATGGTTAAAACAACCAGCCCTTATCGCCAGCAGTAACACTGCATCTGCAGGTAATAACAGTTCAGATCATGGGGCATTCTTGAGGGTGGGATTAATAGAAGCATCTTTTTTGGGGGGGCGCTTTTTNACACAAAAAGAAATTTCTCAAAGAGCAAGCTGTTCACAGAGTGCAGTTTCAAAGCACATCCACAAAAAGTCTGTTGGAAGGGGGAAATGTGGCAGGAAACGCTGGTTTCCTGCCACATTTCCCCCTTCCAACAGACTTTTTGTGGATGTGCTTTGAAACTGCACTCTGTGAACAGCTTGCTCTTTGAGAAATTTCTTTTTGTGTCTTACCCTCCTGATGGAGGGTGTCAATGACGGTCCTCTGGACAGCAGTCAGATCAGCAGTCTTCCCCATACTTGTGATTTAGTTTACTGAACCAAGCTGAGTGTTTTTCAAGGCTCAGGAAACCCTTGCAGGTGTTTCGAGTTAATTAGACGATTCAAGTGATTCGTTGAACACCCTACTAGTATACCTTTTCATGATATTCTAATATTTAGAGATAGGATATTTGAGTTTTCTTAAGCTGTATGCCATAATCAGCAATATTAAAATAATAAAAGGCTTGCAATATTTCAGTTGATTTGTAATGAATCCAGAATGTATGACATTTTTGTTTTTTTAATTGCATTACAGAAAATAAAGAACTTTATCACAATATTCTAATTTTCTGAGACAGTCCTGTATTTTTGTCAATACATTAAGAGTTGATCAAGAAATTAAGGTCACAGAGAGTAATTGATGTGTACAATGGTGAAATACTCCTGTAAGTACATAGTACGGGTTGAAGAACTAAGACAAGGGGAAGGTAAGCTGAAGTTATGAAGGTTATTTATACAATGTCCTCACAAATATAGTAGAACTGCATGCATCCTGTCAGTGTTAATGACCCTCTTAACGTGGCCCACCGGTCTCCTGTGAGGAGAAGCTGAGCTCCACTTAGCCATGCTAGGTGCAGAGCTCGGGAAACACGATGTATGGAGTGCAGGCTGTAGGTGTAATGTGGGACAGGTGGAGTGGCTGAAGCTGTGAGAGCCCTGCTTGTTGAGGAAAGCTCGTACCAACAGGTCAGAAACAAGTACATTTCAGGTACGGAAACATGTTGCATGTTTGAGTTGGAAAGGGGGCGTATTTCAGCCCAAATGATACATTTTCTCTGTCATAAAGTTGTCCTCACAGTTTAAACAAAACACAATGTGGTTGTTACTGGCACACATTTGATAGCTGGACTTATTTTGCCGCTTTTCACCGTTATATGGGGGAAAAAACCCTTTTCTGTCTAGTGTTCGATACCTTGAGATGGACACCAACTCCTTTTCTTTCCGTCGTTTTCTTTCCATTTCTTTAGTCTCTGTACATTTATGAACTGGAGTCATAGACTCTCAGCATAGGGGTGACTTATTGGCCAAGTACAGAGTTGAGCGGTTACATATTTACTCATTAGGGCACATTTTTGTCTACTTTTTGATTGAACTTATTTACAATAGTCCACCTTGGTTGTCGAATCCATACCAATTGTCCATCATATCTAATGTTAAGTGGACATACTTTAAAGCCATCACCTTCAAAGAATAAAATGCCAATAAGTGAACAATGCCCCCTTGTATCACAGCTTGTTTCTCATACATGAACAGCAGAGTATTATGAGTCCTGCAACTTGGATGCTGAGTTGATTTTCTAGCATGAAGTTTAACCTTGTGATCTAATTCTGACATTTTGAAACGTACACATTCAATAAAAAAATGATTGAATCATCCCGAGATTAAACTCACAAACAAACCCATGTGTCAGTTGAACTCACGCTTTGAGTGTCCTCAGCTCAGCTCTCACTCCTGAGTGTGCAATGCCTCATGCAGCTCCTTTCACAAGAATCCAAAGGTGACATGATGCAACATGCTCTCGTGTTTTTTCTACAACGCACACAGGGTTAGCAAACAGCCGTGACCTATGCATTATCTTGAGAGGGTTTAAAGTTAGCAGCAACACAATCCATATCCTGTCTCCTGACACTGGACATCCAGCTGAGTATCCTTCCTTTACCACCAACCGTAAAATCAATCAAGTGTTTTTTTTCTTCTGTTTTTGTATGAGCCTTAACAACACTTAATCAGCTTTATCCTAATCTGCTAATACAGATCAGGCTCACATCTTAATTAGATCTACCGCAAGAGGCTCCTATTTGCATTATTTTAATGGAGTGTTAAAGATCTCGTGTGACAGCCTGATTTCCACTGACAGAATAATTTCTAAAGTGCAGAACGACTCCATATAATCATGTTTGTCTTTTTCTTCTACAGTTCCTTTGCTTGTTCCAATCATAACGCGTTTATATACGCATTCTTCCGTAAAAATAAAAACACATCAAACAGTATTGTATGGGAGCTCATGCTGGGAACAGGCCGTATAAAGAAGCTTGACTTTGATGTATTTGCAGAGCAGCTTGTCTAAGTGGAACTTGAATGGGGTTAAATTAGGTTTGCACAAATAATTGTAGAATATTAAATAGTTTCAAAAAAAAGTGCCCAGAAACAAATGACCTGCTAAGCACACCCCTTGCTGTGCAAAACCCCAATAAATAATTCACATAAATGCATTGCCATGAGAAAAACTGTTGACCCGTGACGCTCAGATGAAGCCTCTAATCTGAACATCCTCTTGTGCACATTTATCTATCACTCAGCCAGGTGGAAAAGAGCAAAAGAGTGTGAAAGACCTCTGTGTGTGTGTGTGTGTGTGTGTGTGTGTGTGTCTCTTTCTCTGTCCAGTTCTCTCTATTTTCCTGGATAATTATTTACAAACACAAGTCAGTGTTTTCTGTTCTGAGAACAGCGAGGCTCCAGACGGTCAGGTGAGGCTGTTCTCTTCCTCTGCCCTACATATAATCAGACAGCTGTGGCCCTTGTACAGACGAAGGCTTATGTGTCTGCGTGGCTTCAGACAATGGGGACGTCCCCAGGTGCCCAAGATACTGGAAGATAATAAATGTTGTGTGTATGTTCCAGACAGTCACAAAGGAAGAGCGGCTCTGCTGTGCCCACAATGACAGGCAGCAGGATTACAGCTGGAGAGGTGACCACAGTTGTGGTCGCGACACAGAGGGACTCATCATATAACTTTGCGTGGGGCAAAAAGTTGGCCCTGCAGTAGACTCACAAAGTGTCAGAAAATACAACCCTCTCTTTTCCCCCGTACCCACATCTCTAAACATGGGGGTACAACGGAGCTGATCCAGATTTGCGTCCGATATAACTTAATATCGGAAATGTGGGCTGGCTTTACACCCACGGCCCTATCAGAAATGTTGCTATCAGAAACAATGTGCGACGTGTTTTGGACATAATATGGTCTTTTTACATGAGCAAGCATCGCTAACACTCAGAGCTAACGCTGTACTGGAGAGAGTAGGCTATGTGTAAAAAATCAGGATATAAAAAGGTACTCGCCTTGTAACCCGCCAGACAAAAAACATTTGAGTTCCATAATATTTCAAAAATAATCCTTGATGTGGTTTGGAACATGATATGGCGTTTAATCACTGCAGCGTTTAGCTAAGTATTTCGGTAGAATTCTCCTGCATGAGCTATTTATTTTAGAGCTATATACGGACCCAGAATCAGCACTTCTCTAATAGGGCTGAAATAGAGGGGGTATGAGACATGGCTAGAATGGGTGATCTGTTTGGTATTTTGAGCAAAACACATCATAGATATGGAATCTATGACGAGAACAAGTGTGAAATGTGCAAATATTCATCCTAAATTGAGAGTCTTAAAGACCAGCAGTCAAAAAACCAGAGGCCTCGGCCATCGGCTGCTGACTCTTTAAGCTCTTCCTCCAAGGTGCACCTCATCATGCATCTCGCAGCAGCAATGCAGCACACCTGAGCAGAGCTGAGGGACACACAACAGCTTATACTTTGAATTATGCCTTTTGCAGTCTTTGTCTGAAATATGTTTCCCAGGCTTTGCAATTGAGAAGAAACAAAATGTCCTAAAGTGTAATAATCGCACATTGTCTTGTCATCGCATGTAAGGAAGTTAGCCTTGTGAAAGCCGGATGAAGAAGACGGCTCTCTCGTCTCTCCTCTTGTTTGTAAGGCAGGATGCAGGGCCCGATCCCATGTCCTCCACTTTGATGCCGAGGACTTTGAAGACCGGGTGTGGAGCATCAAAGAAA